AAAAAAATGCCTCTACTTGGATCACCCGTTATATTTAAATGATGAACATGGCGTGCTGAATTGATATTGTCATGTCCGTCGGCCCGTTGGTCCATCCGTCTATATATACCCGAAGTTTTAGAGATATCCATAGGGAATTTTGCCCACATCATTTTCTCTCCATGCTTTATAACCCTTTTAGTCCTATTTATATCAAATTATGTGTATTTATGTCTCTTACTCTCGCCGTTTGCTCTTATCCTCTCTCTATCACTAAATCACTCTCCCAGTTCCCTTCTTTTACAGCTCTTTTCACTTTTTCAGCATGATTTTTAACTTCCTCCTTTTCACCGTGTCCTCTATTCCTTCTCCCAACCTGGATGAGCCTATTTCTCCCATTTCCAGTAAACATTGTGTACTTCTGTCTCTTACTCTTCCTTTTTGCTCTTATTCTCACTTTACCATATTTTATATTTTTATATTTGATAACTTAAACTTCCTTACTTAACTTTCTTCATCTTTAGATACAGAATCTTCGACAGACATATCATGATACAGTCTTTGGAAATCGCTTCCAAAGTACAAACTTTTATCCGCTATTTGATTAACATAACTATTTACTTGTAAAAATGAAAAACAAGCGAGTTTGACCTTAAAAAACAATTGTTAAAAATTTAATTTATCAACACTTAGCAATATCGAATTCCGTCAAACAAGATTGTCGTCAATATTCAATTTGCTTTTTCACAGATTTCACGTTCTCCAACAAAATAAGAAACATTTGTGGTTATGTATTTGTATTTCGTATTCAACAACTTTGTACATCACGTGATAAGTATACTACGGTGCTTAAAAGTGACGCGAAGCTCCCAAATGAACTAGACCGCCAGAATCCATTCCGTAACTAACAACTGCTCCACTGAGTAAAATCATGATAAACATGGTAAGGTTTAGAGGGGATGCGACTTAAGAGTTAAGAAATAAAATCACCATAAGACACTATGGACCGGTACCCCTAGACTGCATAGAGGGAAACTTTGCCAGATCGATTGAGACACCAATTGAAAAGTTGCCTGACATATAAATGGCGCTACTAGAATTAAGTGCAAGGGGAAAAAAGAATGTTGAAGCCACGACTGGGCTTGAGGACGAGTTTGCGGACACTGCCCTAGGAAAATCAATCATCCATAATTGATATGGAAAGTTTAGACGTGGTGAAATCAGCAACCAAAGTCGATAAACGCAGTGGACGCCCAAAAGTTCTTACCGGCGAAAATATCAAAACAGTTCCACAAATAATTTTGGATGACCGTAAAGTGAAGTTGTTCGAGCTAGCAGTGACCCTAAAGATATCAACTGAAGAGAAAGCTCTATGCAAAATGCGTGCCGCGCGAGTTCACTTTTAACCAAAGAAAACGACGAGTTGATTATTCGGAGCAGTGTTTGGAGACGTTCAAGCATAACAAACCAGCGTTTTTGCATTCATATGTGACAATGCATCAATATGGCTCCATGTGACGTCCAATTGACAGCCATCCGAGTGAAACCCGCTCTACAGCATGGAAAAACACAACAGTCGGTTGGCAAGGTTACGGCGTCTGTATTTTGGGATGCACATGGAATAGTTTTGATTAACGTATTCTCCGTATCCGAGCCACAGTGACTTATCTGTTCTCAGATCTCAAAAGAATGAATACGTCGTTGTTATGAATAACAATTAACTGGATGCTTGTGGAACTGAAATTTCGAGTTTACGAATTTTTCATCTTTTTTCGCTCTGGAATACGTGATTAGTGAAAGTTCTTCAAGGTTCATGAAAAACGTCGATGATTAACTTGAACTCTTTTATAAAGAGTGAATGAGATTTAAAGTCGGTTTTGGAATTCATATCTTTCTGGGAGATAATCCGAACTACCATGGGTATTACACATATCTGGTAGATCTGATTAGAAAACACAAAGCGAAAGATATTCAAGGTTCAAGAAGAACGTCGGTGGCAAGTCGAACACTGTTACAACGAACGAAGTATTTAATGTCGCTGTTGGAATGCATGTACTCCTCGGAGACCAGCCGCACCACCAAGGGGTATGCACGCCACACATACATGCGTAAATAAATGCAATTGCCTTGCGCTTCTTTGTGATGAAAATGCTTCGTATATGGTTAGCACTACACGGCAAGGAGTACGAGTATTTGCGAGTGAAAGCCAATAATGCATTGTTTGGCTACCGAATTTGAAATGTGAAAAATGCGCAGCTTAAGCGTTGCCTGAAGGATTTTCTAACAAGAAAAACGTGCACGCTTCAAGTAAATGCGTTGCACTTTAAACCCAATCGCATTGCTTTTTCGATGATTTTTTTTTTTTTGTAAGAACCCCAAGGAGTGGGTGCAGCGCACTTATGTTTGTTTGTATGTGTAGCTGCGTGTGTGGATATATGAGTAGGAGCGTCCAAGCAGTGAACGGCAAACTCAAAAAGGCATTTACACTTCGCCGCCTACTTCAGTTCCATATATATATACATACACACATATGTAGTCCATAAGACATTGTTTGCTTGCGCCCTCTAGTGCTTAGATATTTTTAGTTCGCCAGCAAATATACCCTGCACTGAGTATTTTAAGTTTTCCACAATGTTTGTAACACTCATAAGTAAACGCCGAAGATCCTATAAAATATATATACAAATGATCCGGTGGATGCGCTGAGTCGATTGAGTCATGTCAGTCTGAACCAATCCCTCAGTTTTGGAGATATAGTTTTGAAATTTTGCGCAAATTTTTTTCTGCCCAAGAAACCAAATAACGTTTTGTTGGCATTGTCGATATCGTACTACTATAGCGTATAGTTGCCATACATACTGAACGATCAAACTCAAGTTCTTGTATTGAAAACTTTTTTATTTTGCGAGATATCTTCATGAAATTTGGCATGGATTATTGTCCAAAGCAACGGTACAATCTACAAAGAAATTTTTCAGTTCAGATCACTATAGCATATAGCTGTCATACAAACTGAACGATCAAACTTAAGTTCTTGTAGGGAAAACTTTTTTATTTTACGAGATATCTTCACGTAATTAGTGACGGATTGTTGTCCAAGGCGATGGTACAATCTACGAAGAAACTTTTCGGATCGGATCACTATATCATATAGCTGCCATACAAACTGAACGATCAAACTTAAGTTCTTGTAAGCAAAACTTTTTTATTTTACGAGATATCTTCATGAAATTTGGCATCAAAACAATCTTCGAAGTAATTTTTCCGATCGGACCACTATAGCATATAGCTGCATCGAAGGGTATTATAGCTTCGGCGCAAACGAAGTTACAATTTTTTCTTACCGGTTTCTTTTTGGAAGAATGAGAAGAAATGCGCTTACTGAAGAATGTCAATATCCTTTATGCTGTTTTTGTTGTTGCTCTTGCTGCTGCAACTTGTACTTCGTGTTGTTTCTACAATACATCACCAATATAGCACAGCAGCATTGCTTAACATACACATGTCGACTTTTTATGTTTTTGTTGTTGTTTTTCTACATAAATGGCAACATTTTTGGCTGTTGTCCTCAACGTGGTTGAGAAATTGCTCAACATTTTGCTTTGACAACAACAGGAAACCAAAGGGGGTAAGAACGCTTTCGAGGCGAATTTGTTCACATGCATGTATGTGGCTGTGTGTGTGTGTGTGTAAGCATACAGTGGGAGTAGTGTTTGCAAGTTTGGTGTTTGTTGTTTTGGTTCTTTTTTAGTTTATATTTCGACGTGAAAGCGAAAAATAGCCGGAAGTCCAAGCTATAAAATCCACACCATGGAGGTGGTCCAATGAAGTGGCGAAACGCAATCAGCTTAAAGCAGCAAGAAATAAACAGAAACGAAATAGCGTTTTGTTGATTCAATTTAGCATTTTTCGCTGCCACTCAACAGCTTTCGTCTTTAGGTGATTATTGTTTTGTTTTGTTTTTTAAGCGCGGAAAAGCGTTTGATTTGTGGAAAATTTAATTGTATTTCGCAAGCGTAACGCCACTGACTTAAAAGTCAAAACAGCAACTCTTTTCAAATACTTTTGTTAACATTCATTGAGAAAACTGACACCAAAAACAACTTGTTTAACTGTAATGAATTAAATTTATTCAGTGTTGGGTGGTAAAGACCATTAAGTACGCAAGCTATGCGCCGTTTCGGCGACACTCGGGCCTATGTACCCGGAACGGCACTCACAGCTCAAAAACATTGCAAGCAAATTCTATGCAAAGATTTAAAAACTTTGTACGCATATCGATCTCTTATCCATCTCGATAAGAAAAGACACCTTTATGAGAGACGCGTTTACGCCACATGAACGCCTTTCGGCTACAATGAGATTTTTGACATCAGGTATATCATTTTTTATTTAATATTATTCATTGATAAGACTTACAACTATAAATTTAATAAAATCGAAATATATCTAAATTAAATATATTGATGCTGAAAGTTTCTAAAAAGTTCATTAAAAGATCGAGCTGAGGAGTTTATACGACTACAATTCGCTTCTATAGCAATTTCGCATGCCATTAATGCGCCTTTTTACTGCATCAATTGTGGCATCCTCATCAAATTTCTTTCAAGCAATTTTTCTTCTCTAAAGGCTTTAATAAATTCTCTCCAAAACTCATTTTCTATAATAGCCATTGTGATGCGCGCATAACCTTTCACTTCAAAATTTTAAACAGATATGAGATCGGTCTGCACCACACTATACACGTTGCAACCTGTCGGTACAACTAACAGAAAAATTTAAAGATTTCAATTTTGTTCTTACTTGTGTGCATACCTAGAATTTGGTATGCATACCTGCCTATACATGATGCGACGATATGCAATACTTGTCATGTAGCACAGACATGGGTGCGAGTGTATATCCTGCTAATAATTTTAGAACTGTACTGAAATTATCTACACTTTTTCTTTGAGATGCTGTAATATGGCAACTATTTTTGCAATTTTTGTATTCTATTGTGAACATAATATTTCGTTTATGACGTATAAGAAGCAGCACAAATACTGAGATTTGTCTGCCGCATTTGCAAAATATTTAAAAAAAGATTTGAACGTCAAATATGAATTTGTTAAGTGCAAAACATAGTGTACATATAGAAATATGTCTTAAGCCAAGTGAAAAGTAAGTTTATGCGCTATAAATGTGTAAAGTTATAACCAAAATATTTTTACAGCCGAATAGAGGCATTGGAAAAGCTGCTTGATGCACCTGTGCGTGAGTACATTGCATTGACGAACGTGCCGCTGGGAGAATCGCTAAAAATTGATGAAACAATTGTAGCGAAAAATAGCACGCTGAAAGATCTGAGATTGGTGGATTCCATACTTGTGGAATGTGAGGCCAAGCACCATGGAGAGGTACAATAAAACTAAGTATTTAATCTACTTTGCAATAAATATATAATATAAATATAACAATTAAGGAAAGGAGCATTTAATACTCTTGCAACTTGCAACAATCAAAGGTCATTTATATATACATATATAACCCTATACCTATCTCGATTAGTTTTGGGTGAACACAATTTTTATAATCTGACAATATGTTGCAAGACTATAAAAGTGACACATATATTATTATCTTTGCAGTTGCTCACCGAAACGGATTGGCAAAATTTAATTTTGCATTTCTTCAGCCCACAAAGACGTGTAATGGAATTGGAGACATTTGATATTGAAACGGGTGAAGGCGGCGATGGCGATGCAGTACCTGCGTCCAGCCATTGGCTGTTACCCTCCAGCAGCTTTTTGCATTTATGGGAGAATTTAATATATGAAGAGGGTTTGAAAGAAAAGGTGTTTGTCTCTAGACACTACGTTTTTTTAATTGCTTTACATACAATTTTATAATGTTAATTTTACACTTTGCAGCTGGTTAAGTTTGCACTTTCGGCATTAACATTCTCTCAACACAATGTAAATCCGCACATAATTTCCTGCAATCGCTTATTACTATTACACGGTCCTCCCGGTACTGGTAAGACTAGCTTATGCAAAGCTTTAGCACAAAAGCTTGCCATTCGTGTACGTCGCACTTATCGCCACACACACTTAATTGAAATCAATAGTCACAGTTTATTTTCGAAATGGTTTTCGGAAAGCGGTAAACTGGTAATGCGACTTTTTGCGAAAATACGCGAAATTGTTGTGGATCCACATAATCTGGTATGTGTGCTAATCGATGAGGTCGAATCGATGGCATATGCACGTGACTGCATGTCTGGGCAGGAGCCAAAAGATGCGATGCGTGTGGTTAACGCCTTGCTAACACAGCTAGATGCAATTAAAGAGCATCCGAATGTTTTAATATTAGCAACATCAAATTTGGCTGACACCATAGATTTGGCTTTTTTGGATCGTGCTGATATTAAACAGTATATTGGTTTGCCAAATGTCACGGCCATAAAATGTATTTACGAAATGATGTTAGAGGAAATGATGCGTATTGGAATAATAAATAAACAATCATTAAAAGAGACTGATCGACATGAAGGATTGTTAACGGCGTTGGCAGAGCGTAGCATTGGTTTAAGCGGACGCGCCTTGCGTAAACTACCATTTCTGGCGCATGCCGTGCACATGGCCAGTTCGGATTTTGATATGAATGGAAAGATTGAATTAAGTGATTTTTTGGATGCTATGTTAGCTGCACTTGAGCAGCATCATGAAGATCAGAAGCAAATAAAAACTTAAGTTAAATAATTATTAAAAGAAAATCAAAGTTTCACGTATTTTGTGCATTATTGTGAAAGAAGGTTTGAAATGTGATCAATATTGGCAAGTTAAATGTTAAATTAAATTAACGTGTTCACATTGAAATTTTAAAGAGCGAGTTTCATTACAATATATAAATAACTTGTTTTACACTTACCACTTAAAAAACTTCTAGCCTTTAGATGCATTCAGTCGAAAATATTTTTTTTTTTTTTTTTGGAGACAACTAAGTCATATTATCTATGTACCACTTTTATATACACATGTAATAACGATAACACTATAGCAAAAAGAAAACCGAAGTTTTATGTCCATCATTTAGAATTATTAGCAACAATTTACGAGCCCTACACTAAAAAGTTAAGCCATTGCCTTAATTAGGATTTTTAAACCTATATTTATGTATATTACATTTTTGCATAATATTAAATTGTTGGATGTACATATGTACATATATGAAGCGAATTTCCAACTTAACCTTAAAAATTAAGTTTTACAAAAAGTTTATAAAGGTTGGCCAAATTGGAGTTTCGAAATCGTTACTTAGCCAAACAATGGCGAGTTTTGCAATGCTATTACTAATTTAAAAGACGCCAGCTTATAGTCGGGCAAAGAAAAGTAAAAATTTTACTTTATAAGTTATTCATTTACTTATGTATATTTTCGCGTCGATGGCTATATACAAATAACGAACATGAATTGCACTACACTTAAAACATTTAATTTCAATTAAAAAATGGTTGCACTAGACCAATTTTTAGCGATCAGATAATTTTACACGCGCGTACACGGAAAAGGAAAGAGGGAACTGAAAAAAAATGTCGGCGAATAGTTTTTGGAAGGAAATGGCGGTGAAGTAAGAACCGCAATTAACTGTAAAATTCCAGTGTATGTCATTAAATGACGGAAACGAATATAGTAAATATGATGATAAAGAGCGAAATGAAACTAGCAATGTTCTAATATATTTATACAACTACATATGAACATGCGAAAAACGGTTAAGTGGAATCATAAATTAAAGTAGTTCAAAATAAAAGCGTAATTTAATTTTAATTAATAACATAAAGCTTATTAAGTCAATAAATACATATAACACTTGCATACTGATCTGAAGAGCAGTGTCACATTATATATATGGACTTTTTTTTTACATATAAATACATATTTTATGAAATGAAACATTTATTTTAGTTAAACAAATTTTATATTAGTATGTAATTAATAACATTAAACTTTCATTTAAATCCAATTTTAGTATTTTATCGTCTCTTCAAGGTAATATTTATTAAATTTTCTCCAGCCAAAACGCTTCTTTGGATCCTTTTTACTCCATGCCGGAGCTAAATTTGGCATCAAACCGGCTTTCTGTGCCATAGTTACTAATGTACCGATACGTTTCTGTTGCCTATGGCATAATCCTGTTATACGCCGTGGTAACATGCAACCATCAGAACGCACGTATTGAGATAGTATCAGCACATCTGTATGTTTGATATCTAGACCTAATGTGCATTCCGGACAGAAACGCGTGCCGCATGCTTCATTCAGCATACGATCAGCACGCGGCGATGGAACTTGTGCAGCCTCTAGGATAAGTGCATTTTTCTCTACTTTTTCGTGAACTGCAAATAATCAAGTTATTTAGTAATGCACTGTAAGGTTATGAAACAATAGCAGAGCGGTAATTGACGAATTTGTAATTTCCATACTAACTTTCTTTAACCAAAACAGTGGAAGTAGTTGTTATATTTCGATTAATTTGTACGGAATTCCGGCATATTGTTTGAGCGACACATCGTAATAAATTAGACATTTTCATATACAAATTTATTAATTTTACTTTATTTACAAAAACAGATGATCGGGAAAGAAATTGTCTACAATATTATACAGTTCACAATTGTCAAACTGTTCACAATGAATTTGTGAGTTTGCGACAAATAAGCCAAATGGTACAAAAAATACACACTAAATTTTATATTTTTATTGGGCTAAAAAACTAATATCAAGGGTAACCATTATAAAAACGTTTTTATACAGACACCATGTGGAATTAACAGTTATTGAACAGAGCTCTGCCGCTACAACAACAACAACAACAGTTATTGAACACATTCTCTTTTAGTATTTACATAACTAATTTCTTGCACAAACTAATAAAACTGCACTTCTGATGATGAGCAGAATATTTAGAAATATAATAATCAATTTTTTGGCAGCTTATATGAACGCTTTTGTAATAAAAAATCAAAATATTTTTTATGTTCAAATTCTTTCTTAGCATTATTCGATATTGTTAAATTAGACTTGGCAATCCTTTTGTATTTATGAAACGGTTCGTCTGCGGTAATAATAGCATACTGCTACCTCTTTCATACAGCTGTCATTTAAAGCCAATTGCACCGAGCTGGTAATCGTCTTTTTCCGTACGCTGTCGAACCAAAACGTTAAAAATTTTTTCGTGAATTTTTACTTCCCGTTCTGCATTAAACCAAAGTAGTGGTGTGTGTTAATAATCCAGGCAAAGTTTTAATATATTTCTCGGCCRAGCTAAATTTTTTTTTGTTTTAATCGTAAGTATTTATTTAAGGAAGAGTTTGTAAATAATAATTTTGTTTATTAATTATGACTGCTGAAATACTATAAATCAAAGATAAAAATTTGGTATAAAATTACTCAACTGGTGATAAAGTGCGAGCTGATTCATCCAAGATGGACGTTTATTGTATTGTTCGAAATATATACATACCACAAAGAGTAGGCTAATTTGTTTATAAATGCAATTAAGAGGTTGAGTCATTAGTTATTAATAATAATATTTCAAGTAATTTATCAAATGAGGTCGTTGTGGTGAGGTAGAAAATGGTGGGCCGTAGACAAGCTGGCGCAAAAGGTCATCACGTTTCGTTACCCACCCAAACTCGTGCAAATCATGCAACGTTGTAATACAGAAGTGAAAATGGCGGCCATAGCCGATAGCAATCGTTGCATTTTCGAAAACGGTGAAAGTTGCCACAGAATTGAAGAAAAAAGTTATATTTATTGTATGCACTGATGTAAAGGTATAATTAAGAATTTCAAAGCGTTTTCTCATTGTCTAGTTAGCAGCTATCTCTCAGTTAAGTTCTAGTTAATGTAACCAAAGCTATTTGGTATATTTTTTTTTCTAATAAACCCCTATGGCAACGCTGTAAAATGTCGGTCCAAGTTGCTTTTGTGTTATCATCGTCTTTTCGCTTCATTCACTTCGTTAATACCGTTCGGCGATAGACGTGTGATTCTAACTTTTCGGCGCACATTTCGCCACATTAAAGTTTTTTTTATACTTATTTTTTACATCTACACATAGTATTTAAAGTATATTTAATCTACTTTTAATATTTAAAGAAAGTAACTGATTGTGATAAAGGTAAAATAGGAATATTTAATTAAAGACTGGGAAATATAAAGAAATTTTACGTGCGTGCGTGTCAATTTCGTTGAGTTAATTCAGAGACGGACATAAAGAAGAATTGAAGAGAAGAAGAGGAAAGAAAACGGAGGTATCAATAAGTAGAAGACCTTTGAAGTTGATTAGTGAACGAATCCGCTGGATTGAGATTTCTACAAGTTTCTAAAACGAACAAAGGAAATTATTATCTGGTAATTGCGTGAGGTGAAATATTAACGGAAGTTCGTCGAGCAGAAATTCGTTTTTTTTTTTTACAACAACTGAAACCTGTAAGTTTATTAAAGAAAATAAGTATTTTATACAATTTGGTCGTAAAGTAAATTCCTACTACCTGAAATTATTAAGCGGTTTAACAAAAATCATATTTTTCAACAATTAGTAAACTTAAATTTTATGATAAAATTTTACATATTTAGTTATATTTGACCTTAATTAGTTTGGAGATTCCTCATTACTTAGTGATCTTAAACTAAATTTATACACGTTTTGCACAAAGCTGGTAGAACAAAGTGATCAGAATGACAATTCATTAGAAAGTGAGGTTAGATGTACTTGCAACTGTTAGGAATCTAAACATATTAGGTAGTAGATAATGGTTTTGTAAATTTATATATATCTATAAAAACTAGCTATATATATATGTGTGAATACGTAAATATGTATTCATTAACGCTTTCACTTTTTATTTGAGATATGATATTTCCGTTTGACCATGTGGAAGTGTAATAATGGCGGCAAGCGAGTATTTGTAAAGTAACTAACATCATTGTCGAGGTCAAACGTTCAATAAAGCAGTAATAAATAAGTTGGTTGTATTTAATATAAAATTGTTATAGAATTATTATCTTTATATTAGTGTATATATTGTTTTCAAGATTAAAAATAATTTATGTATCTTGTTCGATTATTCCTTGTGTCTTTATTTTGCAGCAATTTATTGTATGAGTCAAAAAATTGAAAGACCAGTACTATCAGGTCAGCGTATCAAGACCAGAAAAAGAGGTAAGACTTATCAAAACGCCAAATTGTAGCATTATTTTTTAAATAAAAAATATCCATTCATTTCGCTTACATAGATGAAAGAGAGAAATATGACCCAACGGGATTCCGTGATGCGGTCATTGCTGGTCTTGAAAAAACTGAAGGTGACTTGGAACAAATCTTTAAATATCTAGACAGCGCTGGTAACAAACTTGATTATCGTCGCTACGGCGAAGTACTATTTGATATATTAATAGCCGGTGGTCTCTTAGGTGTGTTAAATTCTTTGTTAATAAAAACACGTGTCCGGAAACTCATTTCTTGCATTGCACTATTTTCAGTTCCGGGAGGATCAATCTCTCAGGATGGCGAGAAGCCCCGCACAACATATTGCATATTCGAAGCAAGCGAAGACATTGAGACGATGCGTAATCATGAGCAGGTAAGAATATATGATTTTTTGTGTTTTTGCAAAAAAAAACAAAAAATATTTTTGTTTGCATACAATTAGAGCTATCCGCTGGCTAGTAATTATTTGATTGCTCCATGTTGCGGCGGAAGGTGTCGAATGTATGCAACAATAAACGTAACATTTTTACTTGTCTTTGATATGTTTCACAAAGTACAAATCGAAGATTTCTTATGTTGCGACAATATTCTTTTCAGAATTTATGATATTTATGAAATTTTGCATACAATTAGAGCCATTTGCCGACTGGCAATTATATTATTGCTCCATTTTGCGGCGAAAGGTGTCGAATGTATGCTATATTAAACGTAACATTTTACTTGTCTTTGTAATGCGTCACAAAAGTGCAAATCGAAGATTTCTTATGTTCCGATAGTTGATAATTTTACTTTCAAAAAAGTTACTCTATGCATTTTATTTTTCTTACTAGTATTTACTTTCTCTGTGTGGTTACAGGTATTCGTCAAGCTCATGCGCCGATATAGGTTCTTGGAGAAGATGTTCGAAGAGGAAATGAAGAAGGTGTTAGTCTTCATTAAAGGTTTTACACCGAGTGAACGTACCAAACTTGCGCGTATGACAGCGCTCTGGTTAGGTTAGTAACACTTTTTTAATTTATTTTTTTTTTTATTATTATTATTTTTTCTACCTATTGTTTTTATATTTTTGTTGCATTCCAACTATCCAAATTTGGTTTAAGCAGTTTGTACAGCACGTACCCAATGCGAGAGCTATTAAATAGTTGGAATAGTAAATATTTTTTGGCGTACTGGCTTTTGAATTAGTCCCAAATGCAAAAGACACAAACCCAATAACACTGAAATATTATTTTATAATGTTTTTTTTTATTATTTTTATTTTGGTATTTTTTTTATTTCTTATTTACAATTTTTTTAAATCTTATTTATTGTTTAATTAACACAATTTGTTATTTACTTTTTTTTTATTCTTTAATATTGCAGTTAATGGTTCAGTGCCCCCGCATGTGCTGTTGGTATTGAACAACGAACATTTGATTAAAGATGGCATTGCTCTCGACTTCCTTATCGAGGTATTTGTCGCTTTCAAACAAGAGAAGGGCATTGCATATCTGGTTCAAGCTCTTAAAAAGGGTGGACTTGAAAGCAAGTAAGTAAATTGTATTGTATTTACATAATCAACTAACCTTTAAACTAAAAAATCTCGAAAAGATAATTTTAAGTCCATATGTATTCATTTGTTAGCACAAAATTTTCAGCTCACATACACGCACACTTTTTTGCACAATGAATCCCGTGTACTACCAGCGTATTTTCATTGTCAAAGTGTGCAAGAGCAAAATAAAGCGATTGGGTGTCCAAACTTCTTGATTCCATAGAAAAATTGGCCAATAATCGCTTTGACAAAACAATCATTACATTACATATATATATACACTTTATTATTGGTAACATGCCGCAGACTTTGAGAATGGCTTTGATTCGATTAAAAAATAATCGTTATATCAATTTCATTGTACAAGTTTGCAAGAGCAATTCAAAACGATTGGGTGTCCAGACTTCTTTTTTGCGATAGAAAAATTGGCCAATAATTGTTTTAACATGTTCTCGTTTACAAAAGTGTTGTTTTACGTCAATGATAAGTAATTGGGTGTCCAAACTTCTTAAATACTACAGAAAAATTGGGCAATAATTACTTCGACAAGCGAAAACAATCAATAAAGTGCTGCTTAGAATATGGAAAGTTTCAGGATGAAATTAATACACTCTATTAATTTTATTAATTAACTTTCCAAGAGCAAAATGTAAATTTAATTACATTCGCGATAACGCCACACGCGTGCTCGTGTTTCAATTTGATTTGCAACAATTTCTTTTTAAACCAGCAAATTTTTACAGTTATATACCGAATGTCATAAAATACGCACCTTTGAGAAATGTGTTGACATTTTATACGTCAATGTCATGGTATAAGTGTGCAAGAGCAATATAAAAGTGATTGGGTGTCCAAACTTCTTGATTCCATAGAAAAATTGGCCAATAATTACTCTTACACGCAATCAAACTAAATAAAGTGTTACATTATATAATAGAAAGTTTCAGGTGAAATTAGTATACAGCATTAATTTATTAATTAACTTTCCAAGAGAAAAAAGTAAATTTTATTACATTATTACAATTTGATTTGCAAAAATTTTTTTTTTTTTTTTTTTTTTTTTTTTTTTTTTTTTTTTTTTTTTTTTTTTTTTTTTTTTTTTTTTTTTTTTTTTTGAATCAGCTAATTATTAAGTTATGCAGACATCATCTAGATTATAATTTTTTAAATTAAATGATTTTTTCATACAATTATATAATTATTTTCCATTCTTATGTGCTTTTCCTTCCAGACTAATGGACTTTTTCCCACCAAACAAACGTACTGAAGAATATTTAAAACAAGTTTTTCTTGAAAAGGAATTAACTGAAATTATAAAATTACACAAAGCTCAGGCCAGTCAAGAGGCCAAGCGTGAACTGCAACAAACGCTAATCGACGATATACATGATGAGAAGGCACACTCAGAAATCACAACCGATATTAAAGAATTCGCACTGCGTAATAACATTCCCGATCACGAGATTATAATCATTGTAAGTACAAAAACAAAGAACATGAAAAAATGTCGCACCGAAGTTTTAATACACAAAGAAAAATTGATGACAAATTTAGTGAAGATATATAATCAAATACAAAGGTTTTCCATACCAGTACTGAAATTTGATTGTTCAGTTTGTATAGTAGTCCTATGATATAGTGATCCGATCTGAAAAAATTCTTTGGACATTGTACCGTTGCCTTGGACAACAATCGATGCCAAATTTCGTGAAGATATTTCTTCAAATCCAAAAGTTTTTGGATTTTGATCGTTCAGTTTGTATGACAACTCTATGCTTTAGTGGACCAATATCGATGGTTCCGACAAGTGAGCAGCTTTTTGGGGAGAAAAACACGTATTCAGATTCTCAGATCGATATCTTAAAAACTGAGAGACTAGTTCGCGTATATACAGACGATCTGACATTATCATTGTTAATTATTATGTTATCTATTTTCAAGTGGTGTATGTATGATGCTATTATAAATCGTTTGCATTGCATTTTACAGATTTGGTCGACTGTAATGTCGCTCGGTGAATGGAACAAGAAGGAGGAGCTGGTCACCGATCAAGCAGTGCGCCACCTCAAAGCCTATTGTCCATTGTTGCAGGCTTTTGCCTCGACCGATCGCTCCGAGTTGGCTCTGATATTGAAGGTACAGGAATTCTGTTATGAAAATATGAACTTCATGAAAGCCTTCCAAAAGATCATATTACTATTCTACAAAAGTAAGTGACAATTTTTCGTATTAATGTATGAAATTTATATTAATTATAACCTCAAAATTTCTTTTAGCTGAAGTATTGTCAGAGGGGAGCATACTCCGATGGTACAAAGATGCTCACTCCAACAAAGGCAAAATGCATTTCCTCGAACAAATGCGCAAGTTTGTCGAATGGCTGCAATCCGCAGAAGAAGGTTAGTAAACAATTCGAAAAATTATAAAAAAAAAAAAATTGTTTATAAAAATTGCATTGCCGAAAATGAGTGTATTGAGTGTGAACTCAAACATCCATCTAATAAAAAATGCTAAAACAATTATTGAAAGTTTTTGCTTGCCTAGAAATCTGCGTTTGCCTGGCAAAATATAGATTTATTAGGCCAATGAAGACTTTTACAGAAGAAATTTGACAAATGTTACACACAAAATTAAACAATATGACTATATTTTACAAAATTTTTGTTATTAATATATATTTCAACAGAATCAGAATCCGAAGATGAACAAAAGGCACAAAGTAACGGTGAATAACATAATGATGCTGGCATTTTAGATTGGTTAGGAGAGTAGAACACAACAACAAAGCCGATATTGTTGCATGAACAACGTTTATCCTTAGAATAATACTAGTTAAGCTGAAGATAGAAAAGTAAAGAAGCAATGCAACTACATTCACCAAGTCAACTACTCCTAAAGCAAATACGTACGTTAGCTACGATGACATCAGTACTGGCAGATAACAAAATGAATTCATTACATATATTCTACCACATCTAACATCAAATATATACATACTTATATATATATATAGATACATACCTACATACATAACGTAATATAAAATCGATCATATTTCTCACACCATAGTAAAAATGTTTACACAATTATGTTTGGAACATACAAAAAATGAAAACAAGCAATTAAAATATACCATATTATACATTAAAGAAAAAAAAAAGAAATATTTCTATATAGAAGTTATATCCAGAGATTACTATAATTATTGAGAGAGCAACACACTACAATACATACTTGAGCCTTTATATGTAATGAAGAAATCCAAACTCCAATAATTTTTCAAAACTCGTAACCCCAAAAGAAGCATAACATAAGCAATTGAATGAAAACACCACTCAACAAATAAAATATGCAATTCGAACAAATTAAAAAGTAAAAATACACCATATAAAATGTTCAGTGATATATTTTGGTGTAGAAAGCGTAAAATTGCTGGATGCACAACAAATGCGTGCGTTTTTGCAAGCGCATGTATTTGTGTGTGCGTGTAGCTTTTGATTCTATTTATACTTTTATGTATAATTGAACTTAATTGCCAAATGGTGTGTAGCAAAAAATAGTGTAAAACAACAGCCTAATGAAAGTTAACAAGTTGGGTATGATTAATAATTATTTTTTTTCTATTTTTTTTTTTTTTGAAAGGCGTGTGTTTGCGTATACAGCGCCCAACCAGCCAAAACACCTAAGCGAGTAATAAAATAACAAAAGAAAGGCCATCAAATTGCCAAATTTAGGGCAAGAAGCAAAAGCAAAACAGCAAGAAAGTTGTAAAATATACGTATTAATAACTAAATATAACGGAATGCTATATATGTATGTGCAAAAAATAACCGAACAGAAAATAAGAACAAATGAAATTAAATAATAGTTAATTAATATAACACTAAAAACCGAGAATAATGTGTTTTATCATAAAATAAAAAAGTATCATACATATTCCAAATAAATAACAAAATAACGGTGTACAAGGAGAAATGTGACTTTATTATTTTCCGCTATTTGCAGGTTACTTGATAATTTTTTGGTACCTGGAATCAGATTTTTGCAAGATCAATATGTTAAACGTGCCATATAATAGCTATGTGCCAACATCATGCTGAAAGTGTGATCCAGTGAAGTATAGTCTATATATGAACATGGAGTGAGCCGATGAAAGGTCATTTCCGCGTACTATAGCTGTATAGTATGTACTCTATACCATTACATTAAACATAAAACTGGCAAAGGATTGACTCTTCATTGAAACTGATCGGTCAAAGTCAAGTTCTTATAAGCTAAACTTGTTTATTTGACGAAGTATCTTCATAAGATTTAGCAAAAATTATTGCCCAATGGAACCCTAATGTATATGAAAAATTTTCGGATCGAATAGCTATATCATTAAAAACAATTACTTTATTGAAACTTTATTTAGCCTCGGTGCAGGGAACATAGATAACATTATCTATGCAGGGAATGTTAACCTCTTTTCTTTTTTTTAACTATGTATATCGCTATCACTGCATATATGCATGAAATGGCACATAATTGCGGCGTGAACGGAATTTTTACCGGCGGCTACTTTACCGGCGTCAAAATACAGTTTATTTCCAATTTTTGGCAATTTGACAAATTAAAGATGTGCGTCCACGTATTTACGCAATTATTTTGCAAAATTTAAGTGCATTTCCTTATAAATGAATAATAAAATAATACTAACAAATTATTTCTATTCTATTTCGATTTTCCGTCTCCGTTGCAATCTATTGCGGGTATAAATCAGCTGTTCGCCACTCCTCGTTCCGTCACCCCCTGACCAAGGGTAATTGTACTGTAGCTCCTTGTACCATACTTTAGTTATTAAGCTTAAAATACTAGATACACTCTGTACTGATAAGTCAACAGCTGATAGTTATCTGATTAATGGGGGCATCACAACCGCAATAAAATTGTGCTAACCAAACCGAAATCTAACAGGGTTTTTTTTATTACACAAACTCGAATTACTGTGTTCCATAATGCTATAAATAAAATAGCATCTGAAATAAACCATCTGTAAAACTTGGAATCATTTCAATTATGGAAGCGAATGGCAGTAGTGCTGTGACGCAAAATCACACATCATACACTTTTTTGCACTCACTTGTGGTAAAGCCAAACACATTTTGAATATAAAATCAAATTTGATTTTGTTTTTCTCTCGAAGGCAGGTGGCGTTGCCGGTGTTGTTGTGGACATTGCACTCTTCCCCATTGATACAATTAAAACACGCTTACAGAGCGAATTGGGTTTCATACGTGCCGGTGGTTTACGTGGTGTTTATAAAGGATTAGCTCCGGCTGCTGCTGGCAGCGCACCAACTGCAGCATTATTCTTTTGCAGTTATGATAGCTTCAAGCGATATTTAAGTACGTCAACTGGTGCAATTAATTCTCCATATATACATATGGTGTCCGCTTCTTGTGCAGAAATTGTAAGTTGTAGGTGGTAAATGGCTATTGCGAAAATTATAAATCCATGTATATATTTGAACTATTTAAATTACAGTTAGCATGTATTATTCGTGTACCCATAGAAATCGCCAAACAACGACGACAAACGATTGGCAATACACAAAGAACAACTGCTTTGCAAATACTATGGCGCGCCTACAAAACGGAGGGCTTACGTCGTGGTCTATATCGCGGTTATGGCACTACAGTGATGCGTGAAATACCATTTAGTTTAATACAATTTCCGCTTTGGGAATACTTTAAACTACATTGGACTGACGTCACTGGTATAGAGTCAACACCATTCACTGTCGCATTATGTGGCGCTGTTGCGGGTGGCATTGCAGCCGGCTTAACTACACCACTTGATGTTGCCAAAACGCGTATTATGCTCGCGGAGCAAGGTACAGCGACGAAGATGTTGAATGCCCGCATTGTGCTGACGACAGTTTACAGGGAAAGAGGTATATCGGGGTAAGTACAAAGTACCAAATATGTATTCATAAATTTACCTTTTTTTGTTTCAATAATGTTCATTGGTATAAGCGCACATGTGTTGCTCATGTTGTTTCCATACTGAAAAGTTCATTTGTTTTTGTAGAATCTTTGCAGGTTTCACTCCACGTGTGCTTTGGATTACTTTAGGCGGTGCATTCTTCTTTGGATTCTACGATCTAACTTTAAGACTTTTAGGTGCTGATACCGCATCGGATAAAGTGAATGCTTAGCATTTAAATGTAGCTAAATTTCTGTCAGCCGGTATACTGTTTGTATACCCGGAAAATATATGCATGCATAATATACGTACTCAAACTCAAACTTTGATTAGTTATAAGACAATACATGTAACATTTATTTTGAATAAGTTTGTGGTTTGTTGATGAATTATTAAGACAATATAATATATAGACTATTTTCAACATTCATGCTTTAATAACGTTGTTTGAATACGCGTATTTATATGTCAAAAAGACAATTTCACTGTCTTACCGTTATAAACGCACTATTGTGTTAATGAGCCATTACAGAACGTTGCATGCATTAAAGAAGACAAGCTGGCAGACGCTTTTGGCCGTCAATTTCGCTGGCATTTTCTTAAGTGCGAATTCCTTTCCGCAGTGTGCTCTCGTAACTCTGAGAATGGAAGATATTATTGTTCAGAATCATTAATACTGGTTATCTATAAATACTTCAATCGATTATTTTATTATATTTCACACACATTATCGATTTGCAGTTTTCCTTTCAGCAGGCATTCACTTGGATCGTCGAAGTCATGCGTGTCCCCACGCTCTAGTTGTGAATGGGAATCATCTTCGAATTTGTACCTATATTCACTTCTTCGACGAAAGTAAGTCTGTGCGAGACGTCGACGATTCCTTCCAATTAAGAATACCTGAGCATATTAAAAAAAAAATTATTAGTAAAAATCGATGTAGAATGTACATATATTGAGTGTGGGCTAGGATACTATATGGCCATAATTAAATTTCTTACCAGTGCTGATAAAGCTACTATAAATAAAAGAACTGCAAGGGGAATTAAAATAAAATGTTCACTATCATCTTGTTCAATATCCGTATCCGTTGGAGTTGCATCTGTGATTTCGCTTATTGTTGTTGTGGTTGTTATTGCTGATGCAGGTGTCGTTTGTTGCAAAGTGAAATTAATATTTTGTTGCAGTGCGCTCTCTATTGTCGCATATGATGTGGTGAATTGAATCATTTCAATTACTGTCACGTTTGCAAATATTAATTATGTTAAATTATCAAAAAAAATTGTAAATATAATGCTATCAGTGGTTGGAATGCACTCGTAATTTGTTTATTTACATTTATTGAATGACAACTACTGCAGTAGACAACGCATGGTTGCTTTTGAAAGAAAACTGTGTAATATGGCAACGCCAAATGAAGCACGCCAATCATTGGAAATCTATCACTGAACGAGTGCCTAAAATAATTTTATAGTGTTTTCTTGCATAAAAATCATAATAGTTATTTCATATTCGAAGAAGAACACATTTAAAGAAAGAAATAGAAGGAATTGCTATCAGAAGATATGCAATCCGACGAAGGTGCAATTTGTTCGTCCATAGCGTCATTGGACTATGTTGATCTATCAGATTACTGTCGTCTATGTCTGCAAATACCGGAGGAGTCGCAATTGCTGGATTTACAACTAATTTATGATGAAGAAGAACAGCTTACCTATTATGACTGCTTTGTCGTATGCACACAAATTGATTTGCACGCTGGAGGCATTTATGCACCACACCAGCTATGTAAATCTTGTGGTTTAGAATTGCAGGTGGCATATGATTTTCATAAAAAAGTGCAAGAATCTAAAAAGTTCTTAAATCAATTTCAAAAAACTCATATTACTGATGAAGAAACATTGAACACAACATTGACAAAAGATGAGACATCGCATGTTACGGATCTAGTAATTGAAGAAGTGGTTCACAAAACAAGTGATGAGACACAACTGCCAGTCCCAATACAATTAGAAAATGAGTCAACAGAGAATGAAGTTGTCACTACGGAAGAAGAAAATATAGAACATTTGGATGCGCATATAGAATATGAAGAGCTGGAAGAGCACATCGAAATGGAAGAGTATCCAACGGTTGAGGAGTTGATTGATGATGGTATGTTATTGCTACTATATAAACATTATATTAAATATATATATATATATTATTTTTTGTATGTAGTATATTAAGCACAGTTTTACGCTTAAATTAATGTTACTATAAGTTGTTTTTTCTTACGGCTATAAAGTTTTAGAATACATATTTACAAATATATATATTATTCATGTGCTTATATGCAAACAACTTTAAAATTTTAATTCGAAAGTATTTGTAATGTTTCCTCAATTGTTTATTGAATGAATTTCAAGCTTAATCAGTTAAAATTTTAAAGTTATTTCAATTTAATTTTATAATAGAATTATCCATTTAATTTGTATAATTCATTTAATAAACAGATGCGGGAACAGTACAAATAAGAATCAATGACGAAGAGTATTTGATACAAAAAGTGAATGATAGTAATAATGAAACATTAGTCAAGCCACGGCATGAAAGCCAAGTTTTACCTAAAACAAGCTACAATAAATCAAGAAATAAACGAAAAGGCAGTCTTAGAAATAATGCCGAAAATATTTCAAAATTTCAATATAGTAGTGCTGAAAGCGATGTCGAATCAATAAATGATGAAATAAATATGACAGAAAGCACTGCTGGTGAGCAATGCCAAAAGGATACAACTTCTGTAACAGCGACCAAAACTGATCAGAACGATGTAGTTATTTCGAAAAAAGGCGACATTCAACCACGACGTCGTTTCAGTGGTAAATTTACCTGTGATTATTGTCAGAAAGTTTTTAAAAACCGTTCTCGTATGCTCACGCATCGTCGTTCACATGAATTAGATCGTCCGAAATACGTATGCGAAGAGTGTGGTCGTTTGTATGCCACAAAGCAGGCTAAGGACGTACATGTGCGTTCATTCCATAACAAAACAGGACTTAAGTGTCCAATTTGTGATAAAGTTTTCGTAATAAACAAGTTACTTGAAGTGCATATGCGCTATCATACCGGTGATTTTCCATATGTTTGTGATATATGCGGGCAGAAGTTTGCACAAATGTGTCATTTGAACACGCATAAGAATGTTAAACACAACAGCGTGCGTTTCTCCTGTTTACATCCTGGCTGCGGTAAATATTTCACTTCATCTGCTTCGCTGCGTAATCATGAGTATTCGCACGGCACAATGCCATTCGAATGCTCATATTGCAAAGGTGGCTATCCGGCTAAAGCAAAGTAAGTTTACAAATTTTCTTTATTGTGTTAAAAAACTTGATTGTGCCAACTACGTGTTTTTTTTTTTTTTTTTTTTTTTTGAATTTTAGGTTAAAGGTGCACATACGGCAAAAGCATGGCATCGAGGTGACTCTTGAACAAATGGAGGAAATGCGTAAATTTCACGTGATGCGTTCAAAATTGAATTTAGTTAAGATTTCATAAATAGTATTATTAATAGAAAAGGAAAAGTAATACATATTTATAAGTATTATTATTTATATTTGTAAGCATAAGATAATAAATATTTTGAAAAGAAATATTTCAACTTTTTTGAAAGATTAAAAAAATACCGAACGATAACTTTTATAGTTGAACGAAAATTATTTGAAATAAAATTTTAATACCCAGAATAGGGTATTTTGAGTTTGCCACAAACTGTCACCCAGTAGGAAACGTCGTAAACCCTATATAATATAAATGATCAAAATGACGACCTGACTCGATTTAGTTATGCTCGCCTGTCTTTGTTTAATATATATTTTAATGTATCAAAATATTGTTCTTGTATAGAAAATTTTTTTATTTCACAAGCTATAAGTTTCGCGAAAATTATTCTTCAAGCCAGCTGTCATTCAAACTGATTGATCAAAATCCAGCTTTCCTATGGAAAACTGTTTTATATTATTATATTAGCAATTTTTCTTTTAAACTGGTGGCACCAATTATATTTTACTTAAATATTGTATTAAGTTTTTCAGACAACCATTTAATACTTATTCGGTTGCAAATGCTTACTTACATTTAGTTTATTCGAACAATCTACTAACGAGTTAATGTGCACTTTATAAAATACCTTCTAGACAATGAAAAGGAGCAACGCACAGCTACAATTAAACTTGAAGAGGACTCTCATATTTTTTCAAGAGATATTTCCACTGATGAATCGGTATCGGGGCATTATTTAACTGTTGCAAATACAGACATTCCACCCGTCCTTATAAATTTGCCGCCACCATCTGACACCGATGATATTAATTTAGAAGAATATCTCTTTGAAAATCCCGCTTCCTCTGAAGAAATAACAAGTGAATCGCTGCGCGAAGAAGTGAAGACTTCAACAAAATCCAAAAGTTCGTCCGGCAAACGCGGCCGAGTGCCACTCATACCTGGTGGTCCACCGTTTCAATGCGAATATTGTGATCATAAAAGTCCAACACGTTCGCTTTTAGCATCACATCGACATCGTAAGCATCGTTTTAATAAGCCACCCATTAAATGTGCAGAATGTGGCAAGGAGTTTGCAACCAAACAACAATTGGAGCGTCATCAACAGCGTGTTAGTTGTCAATCCTATCCACTCTTCAAGTGTGAATTTTGCGAGAAAACATGTATCGGTCGTGCCAACTATAATATACATTTACGTTTTCATAAAAAAGTCTATCCCTTTGTGTGTCATATCTGCGCCAAGCCATTTATGATGGCACAACATCTTAATAATCATGTGAAAACGAAACACGAAGGCCAACGTTTCATTTGTGAAGAAGCGAATTGTGGCAAAATGTTTCAAACGGCACATGCGCTTAAAAACCATGCTTATACACATGTCGATCAGTTGCCCTATCGCTGTGACTACTGTCAACAAGATTTTGCTACCAAGGGCAGGTGAGTGGCGTTGGCCAAATGGCTTGCATATTATTTTTAATGAGCTGGACATTGGACAATTTAAATATTTTTTTTACTTTTTAGGCTTCGCTGGCACATAAGCAGAACCCACGGTATAGAGCATACTTTGGACGAGCTGGATTGCATGCTGGTAGCCAAAGAGCTTAAACTGAAGGCGAAATTGCGGCCAGCATTGACGCCTGAACCCATCGAACTGTGTGAAGAGGTCGATGCGGCCAACCTGGAAGGCTAGTCAACGCTGAAGTTTTGTCTTACATTTTCATAGCTTTTGGTGATAACCAAATATAATTAATAAGCAGATTTGAACGAAAATATATTTTGTTTTTAGAATATATATTGTATGTAGTATATAATAGTACGTGAGAGGCATGCAAGCAAGAAAACACGAAATAAACTTAAAAGCCGAAATTAACCTCAATAAGTAATTAATCTATTTATTTATTAAGAAGTGAAATAAATATAAATAATTATTCCACTTATAAGCTCAATAATTAATTGAAAAATAATGAATAGTAGTTGACCTTGTTTTTTTTTTTAATATGATATAGATGGATTACAATTGTTTTATATAAGTTCTTTGAAAATTTCTGTACATACATATATATGTAGGTATATTAGTACATATCATCACCTAAAATGCGAAATAACATAGCACTACTTTATCGGATGATTTAAGTGATATTTTTACATACTATTTATACATATGTATATAAAACAGTGAAATATTAATTACCTTTCACAATTATGAACTTTACAGTTTCTTTCCATAGAATTGTAATGAAAAATAGACAAATTTATTTTTTAAGTATAAATTGTATTCCAAGTTTTACCTGTATTTAATATTTTTTGTTTTCCAATTTATAAAAATACAAATATAAAGATAATATATAAAATAGTAAATTATTATTTTTTTGTTAACTTCGATGAGATTTTTTTTTTTTTTTGTATTTACGAAGTCCTGCCTTTCGTTCTGTTGAGGGAAATAAATACTGATATAACAGATATACATATGTGATGAGCGTTGTTATAAAAACAATATGTTTAAATTTTAATCTATGCAAATAATATTTAATTTCTAGATAAGTTGTTTGTTTCTGCACAAAGCCTAAGCATCAGGTTTTTTCGTAGGTATTAATGTTATTTGAATTCTGCGAACAGTAGATCTAACTGCTTTACAAAATTAAAGCATACCAAAATAAGAAAAAGGACATTAAATTCGACTATATCAAAGCTGTAACGCCCTTACACTGCATTTTTTAAAGCAGTATAGGGTATAAAAGGATCTTTATCTAGATTTTAATCGGTTAGTTTGTATGGTAGGTGCTTGCTATAGTAGTCCGATCTGAACGATTTCTTTGTAGATTGTATCACTGCCTTGGAAAATAATCCGTGTCAAATTTCGTGCAGATATATTGTTATAAAAAAGTTTTCCATACAAAGACTGATTTCGATCGTTCCGTTTGTATGGCAGCTTTATGTTATAGTGTTCCGATCTGAGACATTTCTTCATAGATTATTACCCATGGAAAATAACCCGTGCCAAATTTTGTGCAGACATCTTGTCAAATAAAAAAGTTTTCCATACAAGAATTTTATTTTACCAGTCAGTTTATATGGCAGCTATGTATATGCTAAAGTAGTCCGATTTGAAAACATGCTTGGAAAAAAATTCAAGGGTTATTGACAATAAGCCGTGTCAAGTTTCGTAAAGATATCTTGACAAATAAAAAACTTTTCCATACAAAGACTAGATTTTATACGTCCCGTTTGTATGGCAGCTTTATGTTATAGTGATCAAATCTCAACAATTTCTTCATAGCACGTACCATTGCCTTGGAAAATAATACGTGTCAAATTTCGTGCAGATATCTTGCCAAATGAAAAAGTTTTCCATACAAAAATTGAATTTTGGTCGATCAGTTTGTATGTGCTATATTAGTCCGCTAATATATGTACACTTTTGCAACCGTTATACGCTTTATTGAAGTACTATTTCATATAAATATCCATTGTTCACATTGACTTAAGAAAATAATTACATATATTACATTTAAATACTTATTTCAATATTTTAGCGCAACTGGAATATGTTTATACCGAAGAATATGAATCGGAACATCAAGAAGTCATATCAACTTCTAACACATTTTTGGACACAACCAATTGCTTTACCAGAGGGGCGACGAATATCGATATGACCGAAGCTTCAATTCCATTATACAGCAGTGAAATTACAAGCGTTGACCCGCTGAACACTGCGCTTCCAACTGCAGACACATCGGTACCACCAATAAAAATAATATCAACACAACGAACGTGTCACTACAACTGTGATCACTGCCAGAAGTCATTCCCGAGTCGCAGTAAAATGTTATGGCATCGACGCATGCACGAACCCGACCGGCCACATTTCAATTGTCCCCATGAGAGCTGCGATCGCATCTATTTATCACGTCAATCCTGTGAGCTGCACTACAAGCAAACGCATTGCTCACCCGATGACTACCAGCCACTGGAATGTACGCTATGTCACAAAACATTTGCCATACCGCAAACGCTGGAGATACATATGCGCTATCATACGCGTGATTTCCCTTACGAATGCGCACATTGCGAGCGCAGTTTTGCCCAAAAGGGGCATCTAACGACACATTTGCAAGTTATGCACAATAATTTGCGATATATTTGTCCGGTGGAGAGATGTGGCAAGGTTTTCAAAAACACGATATCATTACGGAATCATAGTTTTTCGCATACGGGTATGCCATTCCGGTGCGCCTACTGCGATCGTGGTTATCCGCAAAAGTCAAAGTAAATATTTTTTATTTATTAATTTTGTAATTTTTTTTTTAGTTGTTTTACATTTATTTGCAGACTTAAGGTGCACCTGAAACTGAAACATGAGGTTGTCATGTCCATTGAGGAGCTGGAATCAATGCGCAAATTCAAAAGTTTCCGTACACGCCATTCATTTGTCAAAATGGAAGCGACACAAAGCGTTGACGCAAACTCCGAAACAGCGGAGGCTAGCTTAGACAGCAGCTCCATGAATGAATACTTTGTAGATGTTGTGGAAGAAGAAGTATGTTGAAGTGTGTGCATTACATAGAAATACTGATCAAATCATTGTCGATGGAAATTTATGTACGACTAAATATACTATTATGTATACAGTGAAGGGGAGAAGGTGGAGATTGGAAAGCATTTCTGCTTGGCACGGAGTTCATAGGCGGGGTCGATGTTTTACAATCATCTCTGGCCTTTTCTCTGCCGCCTTATATTTATATAAAAATACGATAAAGAATTACATACAACAATTCTGCGAGCTTTTGAAATCTAAAACCAATTATATACCACGCCATTTGTGTGTTTCAGTCGAGTTGAAACCCAAAGGGCGTTTTAAATTTATGGTAGAAAATATTTTTATTTTATTTTATTAAGTAAAAGTGTTCTAATATTATTTTTAGGTGATTTAAGTAATAAAAGTTATATAAATGAATAAACATGTTGGCACAAAAATTCAAAGTACAAAAATATGAATAAAATTGGACAATAACTTTACATTAAGTGGACATTTTTTCCTAAAATAATACGGTCTGCAGCTAATAATGGATACAGTACTTTCCGTATTTCTCCTACTACAATACGAATTCTTGTAGTTGATCTTGTCCTAGGCCTCAATTATATTTGAGTTGTTAAAAGCCTTTGTTCTTTTTTATTGGCGTAAACCCTGCTTACGCGGTCATAGCCGAGTTTATAACAGCGTGCCAGTCGTTCTTTCTTTTCGCTGCTGGGTCCTTCTTCAAACGTAGTGGAGGTCTTCCTCTTCCTCTGCTTCCCCCGCCTGGTACTGCAAGAGTGGAATGCGCTATTCGCCGTGGCCAATGCGCAAAGGACCATAAAAAGAGAGAAGTTTACTTCTCAATTGCCTACACAGTTCAAAGTAGGACCTATTAGCAAGAGTTATTCTGCTTTGGATTTCGTGGCTGACATTGTTGCTGTTAATACTGGTTCCAAGAGAGACGAAATTATCTACAACTTCGAAGTTATAACTGTCAACAGTGACGTGGGTGCTAAGTAGCGACTGTTTGTTTGATGACAGGAGATATTTTGTCTTGCCCTCGTTCACTACCAAACTCATTTGCTTCGCTTCTTTGTCCAACCTGAACGAAACAGAACTAACGGCGCGGTTGATATGGCCAATTATATCATGGTCTTTTCCGAGATTTGGCACATGGTAAAAACCTCGTCGATTGTAGGTTATCTCTCCCTCAGAGAACAGGAATGCAAGTCGAGTAGAAAATCGACGTCGAACCTTTCTAGTATTGAAGTGCGTTTTTTGCTGCACAGAGGCGGGACAATGCTAGGATTTCGGAGCGTACGCACGTCTAAAACACTGGAGACATGTCTTCCCTCTGTTACAACATGATCGATTTGGTTGGTGGTTTTCCATCCGGCGACAGTCAAGTAGCTTAGTGTACTTTTCTATGCGGGAATTTAGTACAACAGATAACCATATTTCGGGTGAAGTCGATCAGTCTCAACCCAATTTACCGGCCGTTGTGCCAAGGATGCATTCTTTTCTCAGCCTGGCGTTAAAGTCGCCAAACGCGATTTTGATATCGTGGCGGTGGCAGCTCTCATAGGCGCGCTCCAAGCACTCATAGAAGGTATCTTTGGTTAAATTGTCCTGTTGAACAACTTCGCTTTGATGCGGATTGTGGATCAACGTATATCCATCGGGGTGAATTGCCACTGTAGAAAATGCCACATGGACCTACTCGTCTCAGTCCTTGTCTGGTTCATCGCTCTTCGTGGGCGGCGGTGATGTCAGCCTTTATTTTACGAGGATATCAACCTTCCCAATTAAGGAACCGGATATTCCAGTAGTCCCTTACGTTTGCTGTGGCCATCTTCATAAAGGGAGTTTCTCTTCCGAGGCTGTTTGTACCTTTTCATTGTGCGCGTTTTTTTACGTAGCGGGTCCTAAACTTAGCACACAAGCCGAAGGAGGGATGGTTCACCCTTTCACTTTAGATCGCCTTCAGACGGATGTTCTTTGGATCCCAGAGGATACTTGGTTATAGACCGGAAGTCGTGAGCTGTCTGAGCCATATGTAAAAGAATCTTTTCTGGCCACTCCCAAGGGAATGGCTCTCTATTGATGATGGTTTACCTTTAAAATTAACACATACCCTTGATATGAATATTATCTGCAGAAGTTTGGTCAAGTGGAAATGATACAACCTCACTCTTGGCTATAGAAACTTGTAGCTACTGCCTGAAGGATGGAATATCTTCTAAAGCGCTCAATGAATCGATCTAAAAAATACAGAAGCTGGAAAAAGAATATGTAATTTTGTGCATTCTTAAATTCAGCACATCCGCTCTAGTTCACAGCAAAGGGAACATAACAATGGCTTAATTTTGTTTTTTACCACACCTACCGTTTAAGTGATTTATGATAACGAGAAAGAAAGACTCGAAATTATTTGAATGAAACTCTCTTTTATTTAAGTACGGTATTATCACATTTAATTGAACATAAATATATTATTTTTAATAACAACAAATACACCCATACACACGCGCACACACATATGAATTACACAGTATATACCCCGCAGTGAAATGTACTAATTGTAAATTGATTACCTTAGGAATTGTATGGACCGAAGGCCAAATGGTTAGCTAATTGCATAGTATTTTCGCAAGAGTAACAACTGGTGGCGTGAAGATGTCTAACTTACAGTCTACAAAATACTACTCTTCCTTTCATTTGGAAAGTAATTGGCATTGATTATTCAGAAACAATGATATCGCTAAATACCCAGATATAAGTAGAGCCTGTCAATGGATCTGATTAAGAGGCTGAAACATCTACTCTAAAAATATTTTCTCAAAATGAACTCAGGCATTTTATACGTGATCAAGTTAAGAATAATAAAACAATTTGTCTAATAATAATAATGTGGAACATAAAAGGTTATTATTTAAATTACATTTGTAAAAAATTTCCGATGTTTAGTTGAGAAAATTGAAAGTTTGGATTTTTAATAATTAATGATAGAAACAGATTTGACCAAATTTGCCGCTGTACTGGAAAGTGAATTGTGGAAAAGTTTTGTGTTGATAGACGAAAATTTCTTACGTAGCCTTTAAGTACCAAATTATGAATGTTTTTTGTACTAAAAACGGATAAACTATCGGAGTCTAGGATTGGTTTGATCATTTGAGTCACGACTATCACCGCAATTATCTGAATAAATTTTCGAATAATTTTGTAAATTATATTGCGGAACAGCGAGAGCGGTCCAGCCAGGATCTAAAAGTGTTGAATGAAAGGTGTCAATGCTGAAGCGTCATGATGACAGATTACGCCTTTGGTGAGTAGTATAAATTATTCAAAGAGGATCGAGAACGCATTGACGACCCAGCACATCCAGGACAGCCAACAACATCTTCTAATGATCAAAACATCAATAAAATAATGGAATTGGTGCTTTAAAATCGACGATAAACAGTCAGAGATCTTCCTCGCATCGTTGGAATATCGGAAGGTTCAGTCAAAACACAATTGAAAAGTCTTTTAGGCGTAACAAAAGCACGATCGGTTCCAAAATCACTCATTTTTTTCAAAAATTCTAAAAGTCCAAAACAGCGTCGCGTTAACGTCTTTGATATAATCAATAATATCATGAAACATAATATTATTGGCGATTAATCTTGGATCTATGCTTAGGACCCGCAAAAAGACGACCAAACGGCCGAATATCATGACAAAGGTGAGCCGAAGTCGAAAAAACAACGTCAAAGCAATTCAAAAATCAAGGCTATGTTGACAGTTTTCTTCGATTATCGAGGTGTGGTGCACTCCGAATTCTTTCTGACTGGCATCAAGCTGTCAAAAAGGAATACTATTTGAGTGTAATGCGTCGTTTGCGTGAAGCGATTCCTAAAAAGAGGGCGGAATTATCGGCCGACACCTTTTAGTTTTGGCACTACGATAATGACCCGTCGCAAAATGAATTGATTTTTTTTTTCAAGTTTTACGCCAAATTTTCCACCAATATCGTACCGCAACCGCCTGGCTTAGCTCCGTGTGACTTCTGGCTATTCAGCAAACTCGAACGATCGCACATTGGAAACCGTTTTGAGTCAATTGAAGACAGTAAACGTTAATCGCTACGCACATTGAAGGCTATTCTGGAAATTGACTTTAACAATTGTTTCCAGGATTGGAAAAAACGTTGGCAAAAGTGTATTGGGGCCAAGTCCGATTACTCTGAGTGGGACGACATAAAGTTTGAAGCATAAATTAATTTATATATATCTATGTAACTGTCAGTTTTTTCATGCTTTCTGATTTTAGTAATGAAAAATATGTATACTTTGAAAAAAAAATAAAATAAAGTTTAAAAAAAACGCGAGCAAGTCTTATAAAACCATTGATAGTTTCATGGACTCTGGACACAAATACATATATCCAAAATCGATCTTATATATATGCATCTATGACAACAATGTAGTTCATGCCAAATTTGCTATAAGTATTAGTAAGTTGTCAAATAAAAAAAAAAGTTTACTATACAATAACTTGCTTTGGATTGGTCAGCTACTAGAATTTTTGAACTAGTTCGATATTTTACTCTTACTGCATGGTGCATTTTCAATTATTGTGTGTGCGCTTCACCGCTTATTTTCAACATTTTACTTCAAAACACATCATTTCAATACTTGTATGTGGAATAAAATTTGACATTATTTTTACTATATATGTATGTGTATAGTAAATTGTTCATACATTGAGTACAATAAATAAATAAATAGATATATTTACTAGTAATAGTAAATTATGCATACACATACAGCTAGATACTTATATGTCAACATATGTACATATAAATACATATGTATGTATAACGGTATGCTTGTATGTAAATGCAGCTTAAGTGCTAGACAATTTCTTTGGTAGATATATATATATATATATATATGTATATAGTACTGCTTGTTACTGCACTTGTTGTTGTACTCGATAATTTGAGGTAGCAGTTACATGTTGTAGCTAGTATGTACATATGTAGATATTTTACTACTTACAGCTGGTTATGTATATATGTTTGTATGTATTTGCTATGTGTTCTTAATATATGGTATATTCCCATATAACCACTTGGTGGCAACGAAATACACGCTTAAATATTTATTTATATAAAGGGTGGTCCATTTGGTGAGAATTTTAGTCACACATACTATTTTGACGGTAATGGCTCATATAGGAAAGGATAATATCTCTGCGAATTTAGCAGCTTGCAGACGCTTTCAACTAACTAAAGGGATTGGTTCAAAGGGAAGTGATAATTTACTTGCCAAAAGATCCTCAACTAAGTACAATATATACGTACAATTTTATAGTCTACATGATTGCTTTAAAAATGCTCTAAACTCGATATCCGAAAAAAAAATCATGAAACGGGGTTAAATTGCAGAAATTAAAGCCCTTGGTCGGATAAAATCTGTACCTACTATATATACTATATAGTATATACCTACTATATTGGAATTGTTGTGTGTGTTTAAAAGTAAACGGCAAACTTACCGAGCTTTCTTGCTTCTTCTTTTCAAGGAGTCTAACACTAGCCTCCACTAAATCAACAACGACCATTTTTACGAAGGAGTACCGAATAAATCGAAAGATTACTGTCGATAACATTAAAATTACGACGCTCAGATTTTTGGTGTTACACGCGACAGCCTGTATTCTTTCACTCCGAGTACGAGCGAGATTATGGTATTGGCAAACTCAAAAACAAATCTTCAGGAAAAGACAAAGAAATGTTGTCACCAATCAACCTACAAGGCAATCGACAGGCCATAAATACTGATATGATTGCCTGCACTGCACTCTGTGACGCATATAAAGTGGCTCTTAGGCAACTTATCTTTAACTCTAATTACCGCTTTGTATACCCAATAAAACCCACGCATCTGACACAACACGCGCCCGTCCCGACCCGACCTTCTGCCGAAACTGCACGTTTTTTGAACCTTCCGTTTTCTGTGATTTCGATTGCAACTAACTTGAGTATTGCCCCCCAAATAGGATTTAGATAACCGATTTAACAACAACAACGTGAATAACAGAGTAATTGATGAGTACATTTCAGTTACAGTTTCATGGCAGACTGCTCCAAAACCAGTGTGACAAAGAACCTAAGGAATGTATAAAATATATGGATTACTACGAGGCTCAGTACTGGAGTCACTACTCTGGACTATTATATAAAACGGAATATTGAAACATGACTTTCCGTAGAAATATATTAGAATTTGTAGTCTGAAGATAAGTCAACTTTAAGGTATCATAAGGGTGGAAAGGTTAATAACACGAATCTAATCTGGTAAACTGCTTGCAAGCCTTAAGAAAAGAAAAAACGGATCGCTACGCTGTGCATAATATAAGCTTTAAGAACAACTGCAACGGCGGCTTTTGTACTGGTACTGAGCCTGCCACTACTTGACCTCTTCGTTGATAACTGTGCAGCAAAATCAGCGGGACAACTACTTTCTGCAGGAGAATTTAGATATTGAGCCTTCGGGCATAACTTGGTGGGTAATGGCAGTTGGGCAAATACATAATTCCACTTATCAACTGGCAACAAAGGTTCAAAGTAAACAAAGAAAAAGTTAGAGGGTCGAAAATGGAGTTGGTGCGTGAATATAGTGTCCAGAGTTAGTCATATGGCAACCTTTTAAGTTGCCGGACTACTAAGTATATTTCAAGCTGGGGTCTTTGTTTTTGCGAAAGCGGCGATGCTGGCCTCTAATGCACCTGCAGACAATTCCAGAGTCAACATTACGTAGACAGCCAAGCAGCAATCAAGGCAGTAAGCTCGTATCGCATATCGTCGAGAAGTGTCTTGAGCAGCAGAGCAGCAGTGGAAAGCGTTGCCAGAAGTAAGCAACTACACATTTACTGGGTGCCAGGCCACAAAGGCATCAAAGGCAATGGAATAGTCTTCGATATTGCCTAGAATGGTACAGGGCTAACATCTGAAAACGTGATTAACATTGGGAAACTCATGCATTGTCTATGCCATGGTCTTGCCAGAAGCATGGTAAAAAAATCAAAATCCTTTGGAATCAGCTACCTGGGTTAAAACTACAAAAGTTATATGTAAAACGGTAGATGGGAAGTATACAAAATTCCTATTGGTAATCGATAGAAAAAACTGTAGGAACATAATAGAAATACCACTGTCTGGTGGCAACACACGCCCGCATGATGGGACTGACAGATCGAGAAGACTTCCGGAAAAGTCGAGATCAAGGGTCTAGGGAAACAATGGAACATCTCTTGTGTACTTATCTCGCATTGGCAAGACTACGCTGTAAATAGCTGGGGTCCCCAGAGTATGAAACATTGGAGGAGGTATCGATAGTTAGGCTTCAGAATCTGTTAAAATTCGGCATCCTAAAGCATGACTACTACTCTTGGACCCATCAACTGAACTCCATCTAATAATGTAAAGGACCAAAACTGGTCTATGCCTGGCTTAGTGGCCCACCAGATTAACCTTACCTAATCTAATATAATAGTTTTGAAGAAAAACTAATTCTAGCAGGGAAAAACCAATGCATTTCTGAAAATGTGAGTTTATTGCGGTCTTTTAAAAAGTTGCAACATTGGTTCATTTTTCTTTCGAAATACTATAGGATAGTTAATTGGGATTAGTGCTTACTGTTATAGGATCAAGCTGGACCTTTTTTTAACTAAACTTATGAGACAAATAACGATAAACGGGTTGTCATTATATACATACTTTCTGGGTATCGCGAGGGCCAGGTTGCAACGAACTATTCAACAACGGTACGAGGGAAAAATAATCTATCACTTAAAGTAGTTATGTTAATTTAACAAAAATGAGTACATGAACCACCCTTTAATTTATATTTATAAGAGGAAAGTTACTCTCAGTGATTCATTGTCAGCGGTATGGCTTTGCTCGACGATTCATCTGCAAGAAGGTTGAAATTTGTTAATATTATTGTGATTACCAAAACAAACACTTGAATATGCACACACACACACAAACACACACGACTCACTTGCTAATGTTTGTAACTCACCCGGATTTGATGATGCCGTAGCGGTTGCAATTGTCGTCGCCAAACCGTTGGATGGATCCTGTCTCTTATACACATCTAGATGTGTATAAGAGACAGCACAAACACACACGACTCACTTGCTAATGTTTGTAACTCACCCGGATTTGATGATGCCGTAGCGGTTGCAATTGTCGTCGCCAAACCGTTGGATGGATCAGCACGACGGCGCGATGTTATTTTCTTCCAACCGCGCAAGAGTATTTGATTGCGATATTTTGGTGTGGTGAATGTGTACAGCAGTGGATTGACAGCGGAATTCAGCGGCAATATGAAGACTACCAACCAAGCGTAGATATCGTCTGCTCGTAAAAAAGAAACAAACACACATACACCCATGCATACAAGTATAAGTATATTGCATACCGCGACCAAGACTGCGTATGGGTAATAAAATTTACGATTTCTTACTTACCCGAAATGTTATAGTTGAAGAAGACCCAAATCTTCATGGCAATAATAGGCGCCCAACACAACACATCGGTGAGCACAATGAAAAAGAAACGCACCGCAAATTCACAATCCAATAGGGAGAGCGGTGTCGCTTTACGTGTACGCCAAATGGATATGAGCAACGCTGTATAGAGTAGCGCAATCATTAGTAGTAAAAACAAATTCACGCCCAAGAAGATGAACGCCGAATATTGCCAACCCAGTGGATATGGTTCCTGTATATGTAGCGGGAAGCATGTGCCCGAGTAGGTGCCATAGAATTTGGTGCTTGAGTGCCAAAGTGCAACTGGCGCTACAGCAATGCCCACGCCCATCAACCAAATAGCCAGTAGGGCTATAAAAATATTCTTAATACCGATACGGTGTTGACTGCGAAACGGATCGGCGATAAGTAGAAAACGTTCGAATGACATGAAGGCGAGTATCAGCATGGACACCTCGGATGATGTGACGGCCAGCGAGCCGATAGCGGCACACTGCCAGGAGGTGATCCAATCGAGTGCGACTCTGTATGCGAAAAAGAAGAGTAGTACAAAAATAAAAAAATAAAAAAACACATAAAAACAAGTGTGTAGAAGATGGCCGCAAATTTAATTAGAAATGAGAGTTCATTTGGTAGCCATGAAGTATGAAGACACGAGTTTTGACAAGTGAACAATAAAAAATTCATTTCCATTCATCACGGTATTTGAACAATATCGGACAGGTAGTTGAAAAGATGGGTAGATATGTGTTATTTCGCTAAAATAAATGGCCAAGAGTACATGACAAGACTGCAATCTGAATTGTTTGTATAGTATAAGGGAGCGTTTTGTTTCTCAGTGCCACAATAAGACCGAGATCGATAATCTACTTCTATCAGCGTTAGCTTTGTCGAGTCAACTACAGAGCTCCAGTCGTTTGTCTATTATCATACCAAAGAACATTCTTTGGTATTTATTTTTTATCTCTTTCAAAGGCCTCGGTTACGTCTATCTGTTGAGTCCAATTTTCGATGTCTCGTTCGAGAATTTCGACTGATAACTGGCGAATGACACGGGTGATGTTTTGATCCAAGGCCTGATTCGAAGCGGGCTTGTCCGTATATACTTTAGTCTTTACATATCCGCACAGGAAAAAGCCTAACAGTGTGATATCACATGATCTTTGTGACCAAACCGTTATTTTTTCTAGATGAATTGGCAGCTTTTGAATCTCTTCTCGTTGCTCAAAATTTGGCTCGACAACGTTGGATCTTCAAAGAACTTTTCAGGAGTCCATAGAGCAAAGCGATCTCGACCTAAATATTATCCTTGGGTCGAATATTACAGAATAATGAATGCTGGATTTCAAGATGGACATATAGAGCAACTTTTTCAGGTTTTGAAAACAGAAATAAATCGCACGAAATCAAATCTGAAGAATACCTGCAACCTAATTTGTTCAATGTGACGTGAAGGCGACGAAGAGTACTGTTTTCTTCTCCAGTTGTCATAATTTTCTCTTCAATTCAGCTAAATTATGTAGCATGATAGAAGAATGTGATCAAGTTGAATGTGCCTTTTCCAAGAGTTCCGTCCAGAAGAACCGTTTTCACCTCCTTCTTAACAGGTTCGCTGGGTGAAGTCCACTATTTCGACCGTTTTTCGGTTTCGGTCACAAAATGACACAATATCTCCTTCAACTTACCCTTAAATAACGTCAAACACAGAGTGCTAAATTCAATAATCACACCAACACCTTTCTCATACCCAATATTTTAGGCAGTAGTTTAGGTCTCTTGCGATTTCAACTGATTCAGCTCACTCTTCAATGGGCGATCTGCCAATTATAGAACGTGGACTTTTGTGACGTTACCCTCCGAGGTAGCGTAGTGCAAACACGTTGAAATTTATTACCCCAATACTTGATTTTCCTTCCAAAAATAAGGATATCCCCACACCAGACGTGGTCAAAACAAGATTTAATAGTAAACGTCTTCGAAAATATAAATTAAATAAATTTCAGTTTATATGTAAACTAATAGTATCCACCATTTAAATTTGGTTACCAATATTACCATCCCTTCCAGAGAAGAGTGGGATAAGGTCGAGGTAGACAAGGCTTAATAATCTATGTGAATAGTTTCAAACGGGTTCTTCTCCACTTGCTTCCACCGGCGGGTACTGAATCGTAAACCTTCAAAGCTGGAGTGTTCTTTTCCATCCGGACAACATGCTGGCTACGCCATGTCTCTTCATTTACTTATATCTCATCGTTCCATTGACTGCGGTATTTGCTGCTGCCAATGGGCAAAGAACCATAAATCTTTTGCAAAACCTTTTTTCCAAATACTTCTAAGACCGAATAATGCGATGATGTAATTGTCCATGCCTCCCCACCGTATGGTAAGTAGGGAATTTCGTCGAGATTAGTGAAATAATGCTTTGAACTGTTAGTGGATGGAACGTTCTATTGGGTTCTAGGACAGAGTGTTAACTAGCTGTAGTATAGCCATAACTGGCACCACCCTACAATTAGACACAGGAAAATAACGAATTTCTATGCCTCTTCCTACTTGTAGATATCTAATTAACAAATATATTATAGACTTTACTGAGTCTCGGTGGAATCAATACCGGACTTGCCAGTAGACTGCGAACGCCATATAACGACTATTGTAGAAGCTGACAGGAGGTAGAAACGCAACTATCAGTTGTTACTAATAAATATCATCAGAAGCGGTGGTTCAGAGGGCAGCCAATAGAATGAAGGGCCTTTAGTCCAATCTAGGCCAGAACTGTCTTTCTGATGTCTCATTTCATGTCCAATTTGACTTAATTACAAACTATAAAACATTAATATTGAAATTGATCCACTTACTTGTAATATTCGCTCCGATAACGATAATCCTGCACGCCAATTGTTATCAAGTAGAAACCCATTAATATATCAGCCAGTGCCAAGTTACGTATAACCATTGTTACGGCAATATTCTCATCGCGATAGATGAAACGTCCCCAAAGTACCATTATATTTCCTACCACCGTTACAAAAGCCATTATCCAAGCCGAGTAGCGTAGCACCGGTTTACTCAGCAGATCGCGAAATGATGAAACACCATCACTATTCGGCTTACACATACGAACTTGCGGTGTCATCGAGCAAAAATAGAAACGCTCAAACACAATGTACTTGAGATTTGACATCTGATTGATAGCATCAAAATCTATGCGCTCGAATGGGATTCCCGTCAAATTAAGATAAGAAATATTAAGAGATCCAATTAGCTGTTGGCTGATGTATAGCGGTGTGTGACTGAGGGAACTGTGAAATTAATAATTATTTTTAATATTAGCAGCAATGCTCATTAAATATTCATTAAGAGTGCATTTTATTATACTCACAGCGCTTCTAGACAAGTGCTACGCAGAAATACTTCACCAGAGAGTTCCTTCAACGGATTGCCAATAAGCCGACTAAAAAAATATGTAAAAATAAGTGTTGAGTGTGGAATTATTAATTAAATATTAATATTTTCACTACTTATAAATTTATTTAACCGTTGATGCGGTCAATCTCCTGGAGAAAAACAGCGGACAAAAACGAAATTCGAAAGTAGTCCTGTTTGGAGAAAAGAGCAAAATCAACTATCATCGAAATCACTTAACCTTAACGGTCAAGAGTATGGGCTGTTTCGAAGAAATCGGACCTAGGTTAGGTTAGCTTGGATGGCTGACCGAAGATCGCACTAGGACTGGCATCTCCAGTCCTTTGTAAAGCCATAAAAAGCAGAACTCCTGTGAACTTATGAATTAGCAAAACGCTTAATAGCCAATAGAAATTTGCAGTACGTTGGGAAGTCTGCAAATATGCGCCTCAAGTGTTTAAGACTTGGCCTCAAAATGCGCGACAGTCAAGAAGGAAGTTTTGAGTTGTTTCCACCTCATCTTCTTCCGTACAGCTTCAGCAAATGGCGTCTGGTAAGATTCTCAACCGTACAGCATGGACGCTAATAGGTCCTATTAAAGGCCCCACAACTAGGGATAGGCTAGCCTTACTGAGCACAAGGAGATCACTAGATCTCCTGCAATCAATCTTGGGTACAGTACAGACCAAGATTTTGCGAAGCCAAGCTATCTAGTTATAGAGCACAAGAGGATATAGGAGCACCGACCCGCTCCCATTCTACCGATAACAGTGCTAGGGTGTCTTTCCTTGCTAGCTCATCAGCTTTACAATTTTCTACGATCGGCTTCTTCCCACCCATAGTTCGCTAGTCGTTACATGGGAGCTGCCAGTGTTCGGTTTGGCGACTCCATGATCTAAATGATCCGGTATGAAGGCAAAGTGTGTGAGGTATCCGAGTGTTCAGATACGTGTTCATTTATATTTCCATATTCTCTGAGGCTAATAGTCACAGCAAGAATGTTTCCTATCCAGGAGGACTCCTAGATGCAAGGGGTTGTATTTCACTGTATCCGCCGGTTGCATACAGATGTCTCCCATTTCCGGCAGGCAGCGGTTAGAATTCGTTTTTGGTTCAGTTACCACATGGCAGCAACCAAAAGAGTAACTTAAAATTTGCTGGAGGCTACTCCAAGCCGTTTGGTCCGACCAACACAAAAAACTTCGTGAATAGGTGCGGAAGTTCATTCAGGCACGTGCCAAAAGTATAACCGTTATATTTCTATTATAAAACTTATGGCTTGCTGTTATATTTCCACACTGCATTTCTAAAATTTAATAAAAAATGTAGCTTTATGCAGCACAGGCAAAAGTTATGCACACATTACTCATACGTCACGTAGTATCCATTTACATTTTCCTATTTAATATCGTATGCAATTTTTTATTAGTTATTTAAAAGTGAATATAACCGTTATTTGCCCACAAATTTCCAGTGTGACCCACGAAAAGGATTACACGTGTATTTGAACAACTTTTGTTACCTTGAAGCTAGCAATGCAGCGTCAAATATCCAGCGCTGGCCAAAAGCGGCATACCTAGCCTTGACGCATTCGCTTGGTGGCATCAATGGTACGTGCCGTTTGTTAAAAAATGCGCCGATGTGAGTAAATTTGCAAAGTAACTACGTCAATGCATGCATACATACGCACATAGGTTTTATTGTAATACCGTTAGCATCTTTTGTCAAATGCTTCAACAACACAACCGGCAACAGTTAAATATTGACATATTTTTACCCTTAAATATTTACATTCGTATGTGTGTAGGCTTGTGGTTATAATTTTGTAACGAGTTTGACCCGAGCGGTCTGTGTAATCACAAAATATTGTATCAATATTTTTTTTCTAAAAATGATGGTAATTGCGTTGTCCGAATGTCAATAATTTATACTTCAACGTGTTGGTTGTGTGATAATGAATTGGAAAATTATATACAATTGTAAACATTACGGGGTTTGTCGTGTCTCACTAATAACCAATAACCAAGCGGATGCACGAAAATTGTTAAGTACTCTTTACTTTCTTACTTGCTGTTTTTATGTGTTTGCTTGGCAGCTGATTGAGTTTACAATTATTGTTGTGTACACACTAATAAATAGAGGACTATTCGCTATAATAATGGATGATATTACTATATTGAGGATTTCTTCGAAACGGTGATTTTGAATAACTTTTTGAAGTCTGGCTCATTTAAAGACTGAATCGTACAACCTTTTCTGTGTTCTTTGAAAGTTTGATGAATAAACAGAGAGAGAGAGAGAGAGAAGAGAGAGAGAAGAGCTTGACAAGCTGGCCGGTTCGGGTAATGCTCGAAAATTCTACGAAAAGATGCAGTGACAAATAGAAGATTTCAAGAATGGAGCATACTCTTGTAGAACCCCCAGAGATGATGTAGTGACTGATGTCCACTGCAGACTAAAATTATGTAGGGAACACTTCTCCAGCCTGCTGAATGGCAGTGAAATTATAACACCAGGAGATGATGAACTGGATTCTCCAGTCGATGAAGTCTGTAGAACAACAAAGCGGCGGGAGCCGATGGATTGCCGAAAGAGCTATTTAAACACGGATAATAAGCATGCATCAGCTTGTTTGTAGAATATGACCCGAGCGAAAACATGGTCGACGATTGGAATTTAAGTGCGCTCTGTCCATTCCACAAAACAGCAGACCCCACAATCTGTGCCAACTACCGTGGTATAAGCCTCCCGCACATCGCGTATAAAGTTTTATCGAGCGTACCGAGGTAAAGGTGAAAGATCACCGCCAACAAACTAATTGGATCTTATCAGTGTGGCTTTAGGCCTGGAAAATCAACAACCTACCAGATATTCATCATCCGATAAATTTTGGAAGAGACCCGTGAAAAGAGAAACGAAGCACACCGCCTCTTCGTCGATTTCAAAGCTGCGTTTGACAGCACGATAAGAAGCAGCCCTTATACCGCTATGTCTGATTTTGGTATCCCCACAAAACTAATATGGCTTTGACGTTGAGTAATACCAAAAGCTCCGTCAGGATCGGGAAGGACCTCTCCAAGTCGTTCGATACCAAACGAGGTTTCTCTAAGAGTGTACACTTACTGGTATAATTAGACTGGATAAAGAAACGAAGGAAATGGATCTGGCAGTGAACGAATGCAAGACGAAATATCTCCAGTCATCAAAAAAAAAACATTCGTTGTACTCGCGACTTGGCTCCCACTTCACTTAACCAGCATTAACACCAATGACAATGTCAGCCTCGAAATCCAACGCAGAATAACTATTGTCAAAAGGTGCGACTTTCGACTGAGTAGGCAATTGAGAAGAAAAGCCCTCTCTCGATGTACATAGACCAAACTCTACAAGCCAATTATTATTCCCGTCCTGCTATTTAATGCATAGGCATGGACGATGACAACATCTGATGAGGCGACGTTACGACTTTGACTTGAGAAAACGGTTCTGCCGAAGACTTATGGTCCTTTGCGCATTGGCGAATCCGCAGTCGATAAAAGCTAATGTTTACAAAATGTCCTTTGATAAATGGTTTATGTATCAGACCTCTTATTTTCGCTTTAATCTTCCAACGGTCAATAACCGATTTAATAACCGATAAACTATAGTTATATGGTAGACTCGTCGAAAGTGTTATACCTTGTATATTATCAAGGGAAAATAATTAGCATAAATTCAAGTCAGAATAACTATATACAAATATTTTGAAAGGGGTGAGCTTACTATAAACAGCCTGCTGTTCCCACAATATTCATTACATACGTATTGGTGCATACGCATGCTCAAATGACTTAAAAACAATATAATTTAAAAGAGACATCCATTTCTTTTTGATTTTATTGCATGTTGTGTTTCAATATCTGCTGGTAGTGAGTGAAGAAAGCCGTTAAAGGATTTATTTAGACTATACTAGGTTTGAACGTTTTTTTGAAGCGCTTAGTTTCATTATGTCAGAATAGTGCTCAGGGATTTTTCAGAAAAAAATTCGTCTGGTATATTATAGTTCGATATTTGCGTCTGTGTATCTAAGTAGATATAATTTGTTTGTATAATTATATTTAGCATAATATTTCCAATGAAAGTATTACATTTTTCGCACCACACAAATTAATTAAGCCCTAACATTAATGCTAGCTGCATTTCTCTTTTTCGAAATATATTCACACTTATTATCATGCCAAATGAAAGAAGAGCAATCGATTAACATTAGTGCAAAAAATGTGAATTGAGCAAAAACCACTCGTAATACAAATTATCTCCAACAATTTCAATCAAAGAAATTGCATATGCCAGCGAAATTAGTAGCCGGCTACGTTTACGAGCATAACACTTCTATTCTTTGCACAGAAATGATTATCACACATATGTGTATGTATGGATGTATGGAAGTACATATTATATGATACTTCAGATGTTGTATAGGGTCACGCGCCTACACTATAGCGCTTACCGATAGAGATGATGTGATTTTGAAAGCCCGTGTCGGCCATATTTGTCTAAGAATTTGTATAAAATTTTGTCAGAGTGTTCAGTTAGGTTTGCCATTTGATTATGCAAATGGTGCAAAGTTCACGTTCTCCGAATAAGTCAAAAATTCACTTTCCTCGCAGAATCATCTTCTCAAATGTGTCCCATTTCAAGCTAAATGACTTCGTCAAAAAAAAAAAAAAAATTGTTGCTATTGGGATGAGGCAAAACTTAATCTCGTTTAGGAAACACCTACTCTATATTGAGCGGATCAGCGATTTATTTTTATTTTTGACAGTCCCGATGTCAAAATTGAATGACGTCAATTCTGTATTCTCTTTATAATTCTCAATATGGTCATAAGTTGCGCCAAAATGTAAAAGTTTTCTGTAAATATCATAAGTATATATGTAAGTTAACACAACATTTTATGAACTTCTACATAAATTCCATTCCCACATYATATGCTAGAAACATACAAACCGTTTGCATACTTTGGAGTCCTATTACAACCAAAAGTGCAACTGCGCTAAACGCGCATCC